AAGAGTGAAACTTCCATCTGTGAAATCGTTGTTCGAGGAGCCAGTCAAACCGTGTGACCGCGTGATGTGGATCCCGTGATTAAAGGAGGAGAGCCGCCATAGTGCGAATTAATCACATTGCTAATCAGCCGCTTGTGGTCGAAATGTTAAGTGTTCAAACTACTAGCCGGGAGTCGGCGGGTTCGAGACTCTCCGGAGTTTTGTGAGATGTGCACTGCTGATGATTCCCAATAAGGAAGATACAGCTGTATGGTGCTTCTTGGATTTTCAGCACAGATTATTTTAACGTACAGGATGAATTCTCCACAAAATTCCAAAGTCTGTTCACACAATGATGAAATCAAATTTTATTTGTTATGGAGGAACATGGTGTAGCTCAGGTAGCGTTGATGGCCATTGGTTTTCCTGTGAACTGCCCAGCAAACAAAAGGATGACTATTAAATTAAATTGTCTGCATGTGGGGAGGCTTGTGATCACTTTGTACGTGCCAGTCTGCAAGGAGGAAGCGTCTTATATTAAAGAACATTTTTGGGTTCGTTGAATGTAATACGGCTGGGAAAGAGGTATTGCACGGAAATCAGTGTACACAACATTGCCTTTTCACACATGCATCATATTATCGTTTGTTTTCAATCGCAAGTATTTCCTTATTTCTGTGTCTTCGTCAGTCACATGTCTTAACTCATCAAAGTAATTATTTTTCACGCAGATGACAGATAGGGATATTCCAGTTTGGGGTCACTACTCAATCACCAGTCAGAAAAAAACATTGCGGAAATTAGTGTTACGAAGCTTTACCGTTGCCATCTATCGCATCTCTTGGTGACAGTGCACTCTGAATGACCAGTAGTCAAACTTACACTTCCTATGTTGGTAGTGGCCGTCGCTTTTGATTTTCATTTGTGCAGCGAGGAGAACTTACTTCACGATGTGTTCCCATTTTGCTTGACACATTGGTCCATGATGTAAAACCTGTCACTTTTGTGAGCAAAAAATCATCAAATTCTCTGAGGAAAGGAGATGGGTTGAAGGCAGTTCCCTAACGCTGACGAGCTGCGGCGCAGAGGTGTTTACGCACACGCTGACCATCTTATACTCATGATCATGGATTCATAGAACACTGGAGGTCCCGCCGCTCAGTTTTTCAAAACACTCTGGACAAAGCGGTAGTAAATGCCTAGTTTTGGGTGTTCATATGGAAAAGTGTGTAACTGATTGCAAAACCAGTACCCGAAGTAGTAGTTTCATAAATACTGACGCACCCCTAAGACATGAATGTCGACGCAAATGTGTGGAACCAGTGAGTAAATAGAACGCAGATTAGGCGGCTCTGTTGGTGGACCTGAAGCGGGGTTCTTCGGGTGTTCGAGATTTAACTCCATTGCTCAACTTTGTAGACTTCATTTAGACTGTATCAGCAAACACCTGTCACTTGCACTAGAGTACCTTTTTCCAGAAGTCAAGTGAAGAATGGCATTGAGAATAGATGGTGTTCTGTTCCAGAAGGGTAATGGCACTCCACTACTAGCAGTCATCTTTTCATCACAATACCCACGCCTACCAAAACACCACTTTGACCGCTGATGGGCGAAAGCGGGTCACTGGGGTCACAAAAATAGTTGTTTCAGTCATTTTCCCCGTAGGACCTCTGAGGACATACGAAAACAAGCTAGCAAGCTACCCTGGCGTCCTCCTGTGGGGGCGTAACTGCTTCATTAGGCCGTAACCCTCATTTTGTTCAGCAAAGCAAACACCAGAGGCTTAAAATTTGACTGGCTTATTGCTACGTATAAATGAAAATTTTCCTTACCGACCAAAATGACTCGTCTTTTGGTGAGGTACTTCCATTTGGTTTTAAATAAAGACTCAGCTTAATTCCAACTGCATAACGATATTCACCTAATAGATGTGCTGATCCAAGGCCACCAATGTTTCATCCCGGTCCACGTAGAACGTGGACTTGACGAAAAATCGAGGACTTTGACCACCTGATAAGCCTTTAGAAGGGCTGAGCCAGTAATGAGCAGTCGAAAAGTCTTTAGTGGTGTTTTACATCACGATTTCCCATTGGTTTTCATCAATTTGTGACCTGGAGAGAGTACAGTTTTTCTCTGACTTATACTATGATGTCAGTGTCTCGTGCGGTAAGTTTTATCCTATTTGTGTTGCCTTAGAGGTCTGCACAGATCTCAGATGTAAGCGGAACCCATGTTTACGTGATAATCCGGCATTGTCTTGCTCCAAAGATCGGAGTGTGGTAATGCGATGCTCGTACGTATCCCTATCGGGCAATTCCGACCATCCAGTCAACTTACTCGGCTACTTTGCTGTACTTAGATCCTGCCTGAATGGTCCTTTAATCCCGTCCTTAATTGATCCCACCAGATAAAATAAGGTCCATGCCAGTAGTTTACTTAGTTATCGACATAGGAGCCAGCTGCTGATATATTCAAGTAATTACCTTCACACACGGTGTACTACTCATAGAAACATTTCCCCGCTGAGAAATAGATACATGGACGTGCGCATAATTACACATTCAGAGTGGTGTATCAGACTTGCAGTAATTGGTTTGATCACGAACGTATGAGGACAAGGTAGCATCCACCATATACACTCTGTCTTTCTTCGTCCAAGTAATCGCTCCGTCGGCTCTACATGAAAACATCGACGCGAGATAAAGGTATGCACATTCCGTTGCAAAGTTTTTCAACATACGCTAGTTGAAATATATCATATTTGCAGGTTATCTGCGTGCCTTCCAGCTTGCAATTCACTTCATGCAAGGAAACAATAAATATGGTGTTGAAAATTGATGACCTGCTGGAGTTTCACTGGTCCGTAGCTAGGCGAGCACAAAAGGTAAACTATATATAGTGACAAGGATGCCTCGCATCAGAAAAGAAAGATGAATATCAGAGATAAATAGCAGAGATGAATATAAACCGTTCATTAATAGTCAGTGTCAGTTTCCTATTTCGTGAGACGGATGTTGAAATTTTGAGATGGCAACCTTGCTTCGCTTCCCTTATTTGACAGTCAGCAAACCAGGAATGCTTCATAGAAGTTTGTGTTTTTGTTCTTCTCGCTGGCCCTGTTGGTGCGGCTTGGTCGACAAAAATTCCCTCAAAAGAGAAAATTGATGACTGGCAGTTTCCGCTCGGCAGCCGGTGATCAATTATTGCCTACTCGTTCATATATCAATGGCTACCTTTCTTCCTCTGGCGCACCATAGTTGAAAGCCGCAGAGAATTCAAGCATCCTGTTCATTTGCTCCAATGACTCCCCACAGAGTATGTAATTTACTTACCGACATGAGCAATAGAGGACTGGCAACAGATTGGCAAATGTATTTTAGAGCGTGGCCAATTTGAGGTAGTAGTGAAAAAGTAGTGAAGTCATACAATTTCAATGGTCACATGACCTTACTGAGTGGATTTTTTCTCTCAGCAGTTGCATTTATTCTCACCGCGCCTTGGTGTTTTATTTTCACGGAAAAGCTTCATGTGTGAAACAAGGAGAAAATTACGCTCTTTCCTCAATTCGCACAAGTTTATCCATTAAAACATATATTGCGCTATCTACCGGAATATAGTTCACAGTCAGGGGTTTAGTCCTTGCATTTCATAGTATTGGTTGTTACTCAATGATACGTTTTAAAACAGCACCGAAGGCTGCTTAACCTCAAATATTTTCGGTCAACCTGTGGACTCATCCGCTTCTATGGCAACATTACTAATCATTCTGATTCGGTGAGTAAAAACTTGTCGTTGCGCAATTTTATAGGATTCACCTTTGCTAATGTAAAGCCAACCTTTCGGGAGATATGGGTTTCAACTTGTTCATGCATTATTGTCAATTTTGCCATAACTTGAGTAGAACCACATAAGAGGAAAATTCATCGAAGTGGGGTCCAATGAAAGCAGCGAGACTAAAAAGCCAAAATGAGGCCAGAAGCAAAATCTGTATGTGCACTTGTAATGATCTTTGCCTGATGCTTGAGCAAGTTGTAACAGATACTGCCTGGGACAATAAACGGCTTTTTTCAGGCGTCGCAATCCAACGTTGCCAACCAAAAGCTTAAAATGCTTGTAAATTCGTTCACGGATAACAACCTTTTGTTTTACTTTTGAAGTGCTTTTTGCAGTTGGAAGGGTGTGGATAGTCTTTTGGGATTTCCCCGCCAAGTTCACTAGTATTAAGGTCACAGTTTCGACAGGTCTGGCGACAGTTTCCTCCACATGTCGCTACGTATTTGTTACTCCGTCTCATTCTGAATGATAATATAATGAAAGATCGTTTGAAGACACCGCTTCAATTCGAACAGTGCAGCACAGCTCTTCCGCTAGGATAACCACAAACTTACATAACATGTTTGGGGTTCATCTGTCCTTCGTGGATTCAAGAATCAAAAACCCGGCCAATCAGTCTTTCTCCTATCCAACCGTCAAACCGCGCTGTTGGGCGGATACGAAATTGAACAGGCGCGCACGTTTGTTACAATTTGTGGAAAGTAAAGTGAACTTAACTGTTCAAGAGCAGTAAAATATATGTAATGTGATAATCATCCAAGGTGTTTTATTAATCTGCTGAATATTGACTGATGGGAGCAATTATGTCGCCTCATAAATCACCTTCCCCTGCGACACAGTGCGAGACCTCCAAGTAGAATTTCCCAATAAGTTTTCCGTAAACAAAACTAAATTGTAGAAGCGAACAGCGGGTGTAATTAGTTTAATTGATCACGTTTCAGCTGCTTAGAATAAATTATGATTCAACGAGCTTTTGGTTGAGGCCATCTACATCACATTGATTGGTTCAATTCGGCGGTAGCGTGATCTTATTTGAAGACAATAGATGTCAAAACATGCGGACAGTTAGTTTGAAGTCCAGTGTAGGGGTTATTTTCTGAAACTTAATTAAAATAATCACGTCAATTGAAACGAGTGAAACACCATTTTGATTAGCAGAAGTAAGTTTACTTCATTCTGTATCACAGATCGAGGAAGAGCAACTCGTCCGGAAGAAAAAAACCAACTCCCATGGACAGTTTGGACACGATGAATTTACCATGTCAACCCACCGTAAAGATACTGTTCCGAATCCGAAATGAGGTGATTTATTGCATCTCAGTCAGCTGGTTGCATCCTCCAAAGGAGGCACTGAGATATACCAGAACTGGATTTGCCAGTCATCTGCAGCACTAAGTTTTTGATATCGTTAGCACTGGCCGTTTGTTGATCACTTATCACACATAGCGTCCCTTCACCCCACTGTTTAGGAGATCTTTCGGCCTACAGGACTCGTATCTGAAATTTTTACCGTGTTGTGAAAAAATTGTTCTGGGTTTGTTTTGATTTGATACAAGCCAGCTTTACATGTATGATGTCGCATCGATCTAGTTCCGGTAAAAGCGAAACGTTGTTCTGTCAAAGTAATAAACAGAAAAACCTATAGCAAATACCCCACAAGATGTACGAAAAGACGGAAAGATGAGCGATATTTGTCTAGATTGAGTGAAACACTGTTTTACTCATAAAAACTCACATTATAATACCATGATTTGTCTAGCTTGCTGTTTCGTTCAACTGTATGACGCTCTCATTGAAGAAGCAGATAGATGTAACAATTCTCACGTCAACCTAATGACAAATCTGTTAACGTTGCTAGCCATTATATTCCGCGGATTGTGAAATGTGTTCATCATCTTGCTTATCAATCCTGAACCATAACGACATGCAACTAAGTGAAAAATTATTTTTACAAGCATTTTATTCGATGGTTCTTTTATTGTTCTCCGTCCATTGATGCAACCGCGTTTTTCATACTCCAATCGATAAGTAGGAACACTATCAACAAAACTTGTATTCACGTCGACTTTATGAGGCAGAAGGTGCTGGGAAAATTTTTGGCTTTACACCCAAAACTTCATCAAGCTGTCGGATTTTGCCGTGACGAAAAACGACACTGTTAATCCTTAGAAACTCGATTAGTATTCAGAACAGATTTATTGAGGACTTCAGTCAAAAGTACAATAACGGACAGATCGATGAGCACTTGTAAGGTATTTAGGATAATTTTAAATCACGATAGTAATACTCTTACGTCAATGCTCATGTCTTGTGCAGTCTTATCTCTCTTCTTGTAGATGGAGTGGTTTAGGATACTATAGAATCATTTCCCTCATAAAGCTATACGAACCAAACACATCAAAGACCCGTTCTACTGTCTCAGCAATGCACGCAAGATTTTACCCAGTTAATTGCATTCGCTGCCTCATTTCCCTTATTCGCCCAGAGTAGAACAACCGAAAGCCGCCCTAGCTGGCAACTCACCTCCTTTCCACCAATTCCGTTATCCTTGCAGTCTTGTATATTACATTAAAGCTCTCACCAGTATCAGCAACTTCATGGTGGTCACACTCTGAGAAAAATACTTTCCATGATACTAGTAAAAGACAATAACCCTGGGTTTTTGTGTGACATGGAGTAAATAGAAAGTGCCTGTAGAATGAGGCATATCAGCGGTTACCCTTGTCTTTAAAAGGTGTACGAAAACGCTATGTAACAACCGCCGTGGCATCAGTCTGGTAGGTGTTGCATTGAAGGTGATCCATGGTCTAACCCTTCGAAGGTTGACTGAACGAAGGAAAAGAGAGATCCGTGGAAAACAAGCTAAGTACCGTGCTGCATTTTCATATTTCCACCCTCCACCAAATTCTGGTGCAACATCACTGCTTCCAGAGACCAACACTGGTTGTCTTCCTTGAACTAAAAGCTACCTTTTGCCCTGTCGACCTCAGTGTCTGTTGAACAAAAGTGTCCCTTCAGAAATTCTCAACCCTCCTTAATGTGCTGTACGTCAGATCCCGTGGATATTAGAAGGTCTACGGGAACATGCTGCCTGAGTTACGATGCTGCTGTGTGCCCCTTATTATTATACGCGCCCGACTTCTGACCGCTGCATGCCTAAAACGTCAATAGGCTACCACTGTTTGACGATCGATGTCTTCGGAGCACTGCCCAAGCCAGCACACCAATAACATCGCTCAAATGTGAACACGTTCGCCTGTTCAGACATGATAATTCAGATGCGTCCAACGTGAGTTGGTGGAGTACTGGTTACGCGCTCGCCTCGCATGCCAGATGTCCGGGGTTCAAATCCCGGCGCGGCCATTGGATATGCACTGCTGATGAGCTCTAATAAGAGTGAAACTCGAGTCCAGTGTTTCTCTTTGGTGTGGAATCACCGGGATAATTACCCCAGAACAGGTACACGACCGTTCAAACGAGAGTGGTGCGGCTATGAACAAATACCTATACCGCAAAACCCCAAAATTGCAACCAGGTGGGATCATCGGATAAGTAATGTTGAACGGTTTTTGGAAGCACTAACGCGCCCACGATAGATGAGGTGATCACACTCAATAAGTTGAGGTGGCTTTGCTACGTGCTCCGTATGCAAGTTGGCTGAATTTCCGAAAAGCTGTTTCGCATAACTACGGGAAGAGTGGAAGCCAGCAAGGGGAGGTCAAACGACGGCTTATCAACGAATTATGAAGTCCATTACCAGTACACTCAACTGTGTTGGTCAGTGCCGCCTCCGTGGTTGGAGATCCAGTGACAGAACACATCGATGGTTAGAGGAGTTGTCGGACTTGACCCAGTTGTGTACTCAGTGGCGCCATTGCATTCTAGGTGTTGTCTTTAATGTATGGCTTTCCTCCCAATCTCCCCAATGAAACGTCCACTGACAACGCCGCCGCTCATTTATATGAGCTACCGCCTCCACTGTGCAGCTACGTACAAATTCTGCCAAATCCTTGTTGAACGAAGCTGTAGCAGCTACAAAATCTGTAATATAGGTACGCAGTTCCTACTGTAAACGATGATGACGACAATTCTTTGCCCATCTTTGACCTCCGAAACACTTTCCTGCCATACAAGAAAACGTTGCTTCATCAATTGGTTGGCAGTTATCTGACCAATGTACCAAGAACACTTTGTTGTTCATAAATAAAAAATAAATCATCTTTGTATATTCACCAGATACTTTACACAGGAGCTTCTTACTTCCATACTCTATGTTATACTGACAACCAGAGATTACTCATCGAAGTCTCCTTAAATTTATATCCGCTGTGCCTTTGAAACGCGCATATGCCCGGCACAAGTTGTTGTAGCTGATGATGACAATTATGTTGACAATTCTGGCGAATGGATCAACGCCAGCCTTTCCCGCCAGATGTCCAGAATATATGTGAACAATTTATACTATCGACTGCCACAGATAGTCGTTGTAAGTGCAAAGGAATACCTCTCTAATTTACTAGTAACAAAACACACTTCATTTTCATCGGACGACTCCGTGAATCTGCAATATTAACAATAGTGTGGTCCTTGCGATGAAATTATTGTACAATATTGCTTTCGTCGTAAGGCATGTATTCTAGACGGTAACCCACGTACCGGACATATTTAACCTCCAGTTCGTCCCTATGTACGAATACAGAAACTGTGCTGCCTGAAGTAAATGCCCCCATGGATTTCACATTTTCCATCGTTTAGTATAGTCAGTGGCCAAACGTTGTGAAATACATTTCGCCGTTTATCTTCCGTTCGCTCGCCAACTTTTGCCGTCAACTCGTTTCAGTTTCCACGTGGTTCGAACCAGCTGCGGATGACATTGGTGGATAAACAGAAACATCTACCTGGGTGTTGAGTGAAGCATTCAGAATATATGATATTTATCACCTCAAGAACTTGAATTTACTTGCGCGCTTCAGAATGGTCCAGAGGGCAAGCAAATTCCTCCCAACCAAATACCCAGGTGTCCAATCCCTCTAAGTTTACTTTAAGAGCCTGTATTTTGTTGAAAGCACCAGTGGAGTTGAACTCTGGGGTCGAATCACAATACATTTGAGGTGCCTGCAAACTCATTTTCTCGAATTAGGAGTGGTCTGGTACGTCACGTCACCAGAAGCCTGTTCAGCGGTCGGATAACTGGAGATAGAGCAACTGATCTCAAATGTTGCTTATGCCTCAGATCTACGGTTGAGTCTTTGCCAGACAGTACCATAGACGGATAACCATCACAAACCATAGTGCTTGTTTGGTTCATCCGATTTAATATTCCTAAACTAAACCGCCTGGAATACTTTGCTCATGGAATTCATCTTCACATGTCCTGAAATTCGGAAGAAATCTAACACAAAAGACGAGGCATTTCATGGTAAGTCAGATTGCTTAGTGAGCGCGCTACGTTCTTATAAACAGAGAAACCCTCTGTGTGAACATCAGTGGCATAAGATTCTAGGTACTTTGGTCTCCCGCTCACTTCGACGAATTGAAATACTTAAAGGGTTGCCCAAAATATTTAGAAAATCTGAATACATAGAAGTGATGGACTTTCAATTTCAGCTTTTCTACAACTCTTGGGGCTAGCCTCCTATCACCAAATTTTAGTGCTGATGTGACTATTCTATGAAAGATGGCAAGTCAACCAAACGTCTTTGACTATTAGCCTTGTTCAATATTTGGAGGGGTATGCCGTCCCTCGATTTGGATTCATCGTGCTCAAAATAGAGTATTTTTACCACATGTTATTAGGTTAAACATGCAAACTTTCTTTTACGGAATTGACTGTAGTAGTAAACATACCACTGACGGGTTTTGTGCTCCGGTGAGTAATACTCACAAAACATAAAAAACATGAAACACGATGCAACATGGAACTGAGTCGCACGCTCAGTTGGGCAAACATAGTTGATGAATGATTAAATGGAATGATTGCTGAGTATCCGGTTGTTGTTCTTGAATTTGGCCCCACCATGCTCATGCATATAAGAATTTGATGTAACGGCCGATTTAATCATCAGTGTTTATTGCTTGCGGGAATGTTGTAGGCAAAACCACAGGAAGATTTATGGCCACAAGGACTGCATATACATTAAAAAAGAGTTTGCGAGGAACATTTTGGGACTCTGTTTGATTAGCTCAGGATAAATACAGCGACTGTTGCAATAAAAACAGGATGCCATTTGCAGATTAAACGAACTTTCAGTATTGTAAGTGAACTCACAATAATATCAATAGCGAAAAGGAACTACAAAAT